TATGACTTAAAGCTTTGCAAAAGTTTTCCGACTAACATACATAGACTCATGTTACTATATATGCTTAGAAGCCAACAGAGCATTCTACTCAAATGTTATCAATTTCCAACAATGGAGATAAGTAAAGGACACATTTCAGTGACTTCTTTACAGTTTACAGTCAAGAATTTTTACGAGAGAATGACAAACTGTTTAATTTTAATTGCTGTATACAATATTTTGATAAGACACAGCATCGTAAAAAAACATGTAGTCTTTCAATTGTTTTTTGCTGACGTTGGCATGTAATAGTTTGTCAAACAAAAATGACGTAGCTGTCAAATAAATATGTGGTCTGTGTAATCTGTGGTCTTACTGATTTATGTTTTCTCTAGAATGAAACCCACCGAATAACGAATACCAAGCTAGGAAGACGGTAGAACATTTTTGCTTGTCAGCTTGAATATTTGAATTGAAACCCAGAAACTGTATGCTCTAGTCTAATAATGCTAACGAGACAAGACGACACTATAAAATTCAAGTAGCTCTGGTTGAACAAAAATAGAATTAAATCTTTGCCACGGGACGAGGCGTTCCGAATGCTAAAGTGTATGGCGCGGGGCCAGCGAACGACAATTAGGCTTCCACTGTCAAACTGGAAAGCTTGAAGGAAGTATGGCTAGAGAAACAGCGGGGAAACTAAAACATTTTTACCCACTAGCGTTCTTTATTAGCGTAGCGTAGGATGTGCTATTTTTTAAATGCGTTTAAAAATAAGAAATTAAGCTGTACTAAAATTATTATTAAATACATATGGTATTAAAGCTACGGTTTTCGATATAAGTAAGATATATAAGATAAGAGTCAACCACAAAGTCAAAGAAACAGTTCAGGATAAGAGGCTTATTATTATTATTATATTTCGATATAAGTAGCTAAAAAAAAACATCGAAAACATCGTACCAAGCATTAGACCCAAAAAGTCGATGGCGTGTACCCAAAGAACAAATGATCGCGAATAAGATACTCAAATCTGAAGTACAGATCAAAAACGTTTTACCGCCACTGGTTTTTACAGTATTCTTAACATTTTGCCCTTATCATATGAAATGTAAATTGACTTTTATAAGTACATAGTTAACTTACTGTACACCATAATCTTTAGCGATTTCATCGCAAATGTAGTGGCCCTGTCGCTCCTCGATCTGTATGCTCAAGTGCAACTCTTAATTAAGTATCACTGAATACGTTTTTGTTTCATTCCTCATTGTTTCACTTGCAGCACTCTTCTCTTTTATTTTGTTACTCCTACTTTTTGCTGCTTCCCTAATTTTTATTTCACTGCTGATGTCTTTTCCTTATCATGAAATTTGTCATTATGACTATCATGGTTATTTATTTATACGGTATATTACAGAGCAGTTTTGGCCAAGTGGCTTCACCGTCCATCGAATTCTTCAGGTTGTAGGTTCGATCGCCGGCAGTGCACCAATGGGCTTTCCGTTTATATTGCATTTGACTTGCTCGTAAGGAGGGAAAGAAATTGGGACCCAAAAAAGTCGATAGCGTATGTCAAGAACAGAAGGCTGATCACCCACTTGCAAATTAGAAAATGATAGTGAAACTGATACAGAAATCTGATGCCCAGATCCAAAAAGTTATAGCGCTCCTGTTTCTTTACGTTTAATAATGCCTGAGGCAATCACTCATTAGCCGTCTGTGCGTTAGAACCCGAAACAGTCTCACTGGGAATCAATTCGCTTAGGATTGATTTTATTATTATTTATCTTTTATATTCTGTATATATTTCTGCATATTTCTGTTCTGAATCTGCTAAGGCCTATTGATATTTTTTAACGAAAGACTTGATTAATCATAGCCCTGGGACATATTATTTGAATTATAGCTGTCTATTTTCTTATAGACTCCTCGGAAAAACCAATATTTTCTCTTGAAATTACACACGTTTCATCACTTGTTGGGTCAATCAATTTGGCAAATCGAATTTTGCTTTTTATTATATTTGCCGACAGCTTTGGCGTTTTCATTTTTGTTCACTGGCGCATCACTTTCAAAACCATCGTCGTTATAAAACAATTTGATTTTAGTTAATTTATCCTTATTTTGAGAGATTTCCACTTTCATTAAATTTCATCATAACACTTGAGATCTCAATCTGGTTTGCAATCTAGACCGATTCTCGGCTTATTTGCCGCGAGATTTACTTCAAAACGTCGACATTTTTCATCTCTGTTGGGATTCCATTAGGATGAGTCCGCTCCGGACTTCTTAATTTCCGTCCGCTTGTTGAATGTATACTCTATTAGTGCTTGAGGTTTTGGACTAGATCCTATTTAGATGTCTTGAAATTTAAGAACGAGAAAACCATTTACAAAGATGCTGCTTCAATGAATCATCTAATACATTAAGATCCCACGATTTGTTGTTTCTTTTTTGTGTTTTCTATAATTTTTAATATATAATATAATAGTTTAGTCAAGCCACATTTCATATATCTAATTGAAATATGCAAAAACAAAATTTCTAACATACAAACACTACAAAATAAATTAATAAAAGCACTATTTAGATAAAAAAATTTAACACAGACCTTCCATCTTCCAAGAAACCAAATTTATGACGATAAAACAATTGTATGTTTATTGCACTGGTATCTTAACTAAAAAATTTTTAATAACTTTCTCCATAGTAGCTTATCATTAAGAAAAACAAACATACCACTACTCTCAATACTAATCGTGCTAGTTTGCTTATCTTGCCGAAGGCGCATACAAATTATTTGAAGAAGTCTATGAAGTATAAGGGTGTGCAATTATTTAATTAATTACCGTCTAAAATTCGTAATATCAGCGTGTTTAACCAATACAAAAAGGCATTAAAGATCAAATCAGAATGAGCCTAGTAGACTAAAATTAGGACGGCTGTCTGATGGCGAAGTGTTAGTTCGTACAAAATTAAGTTTCAGATGTAAAAAAAAATACATTTTTTCTAATGAGAAATAAAGTTCTTTTAACAAATAATATTTATCCAGACAATGTCTCAGACTTAATAAAATACTGTATTTTCATTTGTTATTCAATTTAGTGACTAGCTTTAAATGTCATATTAACCCTAAATTATTGAATAGTTCTCATCTAACCTTATATTATCCCCACCCAAATACAGATAAAAACTTTCAAAAAGTTCTAGAAGTCGTAATCGTTTTCCCATTTAGTTAAGCGATTGATTGGTTACTGTAACTACGCTACTGGTTAGGTTAGCGCACTCAACCGCTTCAAGATTAACTGACCACATTTTTATCTGTTCTCGGTAACACTAATGCTATTGATTACGGACTTGACGAAGATTCATTTACAGGATGCTTCGAAGTTTTTTCTAACTCATAAATGATTATATGACGAGAAATAGGTCTTATTTTATGAGATGTTGGAATAACTTTAATCCTTTTTTTTTGCTTTATAGTTAAAAGAAAAGTAATGTTAATTCTCTATTCAATTTAATTTAAGTACCATACACCGATCCGTTTTTAGTGAAATTCTTTATCGGGATTGGAAAAAATTTAGTGTAACATTTTTGCGTTACGCGTCACATTTTTCCGTTACGCGCCATGTTGCTTTTTGAAGTCAAACTTCTTTATGGCGTTAAATTATGACATATAGTATGTTTTTGACTTTGAAGTTTGACAACGGATTACATTTTGAAGTCAAACTTCTTTATCGGCTTAAAATATGACATATAGTATGTTTTTGACTTTGAAGTTTGACAACGGATTAATTTTCGACGAATTTGCTAATCGCAATTTGCAGCAATTAATTTGTAAATTGTATGCTAGGCAGTGTATCAAAATTTACTGTGTTTAAAGAAATAGTTTCTAATAAGGTCATAAAGAAGTTTCACTTTGATTGAGTACACGCGCACATTTTTTATATAACGGGTGCATACGGGCAGGAGGCTCACCTGATGTAAAGTGATGACCATGGTCACTCACATTACCAGAACGCTCGCAAGTGCGTTGCCGTCCTTTTAAGAAAGTACGCCCTTTTTCTTGAAGAGCGAAATATTTCAAAAATACGTCTCACTCATATTCAATGTTGATTCGATTAACATTTTTAATATAAATGTATTTAAGTTCCTAACATACAATTGTAGAAAATTACCACTTTAAAGCAGAATTTGTCAACTAAATGGAATGCTTTTCTAAAGTCTAAACGTATCGAAGCGTGGCTTACAGGGAGCAATTGATTGCGCTGAGTTATCGTGACCGAGGTTAACGTCTCAATGAACCGATCGAAGATTTACCGCTTACAACTATTGGTCACAGGACATCTAGTAGTTGAAATGCAAATGTTAGGAGAAAATTATATTAGCTTTTCATAATTCCAGTTACATAATATCTAAACATATAAAACAAAGTGTTAGTTACACCACTTATAACTCAAGATCGGCTGGACCGATGTTAGTTATCTCTTTTTTGGTGGATTCTTCTCCGCTCCGAATAGCAGAATAAGTAATAAAATATCGGATAAGTTATCACATAACAATATATTAATTAATTAATTTTACGAACGCAAACACCGTGTGGTGTCATCTGTTGACAAAATTACGCACCATTTTACATCGAATTCTTGTCAGTTCAAGAAATTCCGATCTTGAAGTGAATGATGCGTAACTAGGCTTTGATCTTAATCGAAGACATGTGTTACCTCATCAAAAATGTTGTACATCAGAAAGTGCTTTAACATGCAGTATCTCAATATTGGCGCTAGAGAGAAGAGGCCTAATGTGTAAAACTGTCATTCTTCTTTCGCAATGGCAAGCAATAAAACATTTCTGTATTTACAAAAAAAGTTGTATTATTATTATTACCTTAATGAAATCCTAAATTAAATTTAACTAAAGCTAACACGATATTTTTAGACTGTTAGGCGGAACGAAGTTAGCCGGGTCAGCTAGTATAAGATAATCCTACTTATTAAAAAGTTCATCTCTTTGCACACGATATGAAAAAACCTAGATTTATTGATGATTTCGGTACAGTTGGTAGTACTGATTTTTTTATGGAGCAACTGTTCCCCGTTATCTGCAGTTAAGCCCTCGTTTTTACTTTGCTCGGGTAAATTAGCTGGCAACTTTGATCTTTACTTTAAGCTTGAATATTTAAGGTTTTAAATTTTAAAAACTTTTCCAAGCCTTTATTTTACTGGGTCAGTTCTTTAAAGGAAATAATTTGTTAACATTTTATTTCGCTTTAACAGAAAGCAACTTTACCTGCTGAGCTTTAACAGAAATATTAATATATTTAAAAATGTTTTAGACCGGACTTTTCAGTTAGCGGAAAGCGTTTAGAGTATTAGCTTTTAAGTAAAGCCTTTCTTTTATACAAACATCATCTATTATACGCACAATTCATTGACACATCTTCTAAAGGACAATTCGTGAAATGCCAAAAGGAAATAAAATAAATATATACGCAATTAAGTATGTATTAAATATTTAGTCAAATTTCAAGAATCAGAATCAGTGATCTCAAAATGGAAATGGAAACCAACAGCTGATAGAAACAGCGAAGAGTGGAAGCTGCATAGGACCCCACGAGGGCTAAGACCCGGAAAGAACTTAGGAACATGGCCAGGCCGCCCCCGGTCTTCGGGGGCGGCCAAGCGAAACTGGGAAAAGTTCATCACCAAAGGACTTTGTTACGGCTGTGGTGGTGACTACCAGTTCCAAGGGGGATTGAAGGTTCATGTAGATAGTTCGGAGTATACGGGTTATAGATATTACTACACCAAACCAGGATACAGGCTGAAAGCCAGATCTTGTGAAGACGCCAGATATATTCACATTAATTTTGTGCTTCTTGCCGAGTTGAGGCATTTTGAGAGGGTAAGTCTTTTTGAATTTTTATGCCATCAGATCTAAATTGAACTAATGTCTCTTTTCCTTTTCATATCAATCAATCAAAATACGTTTATTCAGTTTAGATGCGTCTTAGAGCATGCTTATGAATGTCAAAAACGTTTACAAAATTCGCAAAAAAGCAAGGCTACGCCATCCGTTCCCAAAACTACCAGGAGGCCTTGTTCTGATAAGAACGGGCAAGAAACTCAGCAGGTTTTACCCTCCCTCTACTCACATTAAAGTTAAGGTAACTGTTAGGTATATTTTCAATAGCAAAGTGAACGAAAACATAATTTGCGACTCAAACGGAAACATATTTCGTTAACTGAAATCGTTTAATTAACTTCAGTGACTTTGTCAAAGCAGACTTGACCTTAATCGCTTTCGATACTTCACGCTGCATATCGAAGCTTTTTAATGCAGCTTTTTTTAACATAAATTATCGTTTATTTACTAATTGAATTGTTTAGATCAGACTCATTTTATAAAAAAATCACTTAGTGACTCACTGATTAAGAGGTAGATTTGGCTGCAATAATTTCATTAGTTATCGCCAACTTACCCTCTGGAGACCGCATCTAAATTTTGTCTAAAAGTTTTCTACTCTTAAGAAGGAGCAGAAGAAAATAAATAGCACTATTTATTAGCAATACTGCTGAAACTTTAATTACTGTTTTGGTGGCATATGAAATTTCTCTCTGCATGTTCTGATCGCTGTGTTTACAAACCATTTTCAGTCGGGGTTTACATCAATGCTTAAAACTAAGGCGTTAATAAGAAAACTCAAAGATATTGTAAGGCGAGAGATAATCACCCATCAGTCAAGCTGACGTAACGTAGAACGTCTAGACTTAGATGGATGAGGCAGAACTATCCACTCGAGTAGAAGGCGACAAATTCACAAATATCAGCTTTTTATTCGAACAAGTGAAGATTGATTTTGTCGGAATTCAAGTGTTATCAGGTACTAGAATTGACAAATCATTTAGATTTCCACTGTTTGTTATAATTCTAGTCTTAAGTTCTTCTTTTGTTTTGTAATACATCCTTCGGTAGAAGGCAGGCCTAGACAACTGATTAGCCAGAGTGTAATTGTTGTCAACTCGTAGTATATAACTAAGATATTTGTTTCAATAGCTAAACGCACAACATCTCTGTTATGTTCGCAGTCAAACGATATCAATACTCTTATCTACGTCGATAATGCTATCGCCTTGTATAGACCAAAACTTAAGCATAAATTTTGGCCAAGTTACCACTAAGCCAGCTTATCGAAACAAGACGAACACGCTACGGGGCAGGTCGTTATCGCAGGTGGCCGGCCGGTTGTATCCGGTTAAATCCAGTTACAACCGGTAACCAGACTGGGGATTACTGCCCCCATCCAGTTCTGGTAGATTTATTCGTTTTTTAAGACTTGTTTAGCTTTGATTTGTGGTCATTTTATCGACTACGAATTCACACTTTTTCAGACTTCCTTACCCATTTTGAATTTGCATATTCGTATACAAATTAACAAGTGAGAGTATATATCGTAATATCTAAGGAAAATATTATTCTCTACATTTCATAATGAAGTTAAATACACGCGGTGAAATTATGCAAATCCGAATCCTATGACGGACGAATTTAAGGAGTTGAAAATTAACCGTGCATTTGTCAAACGTGAAGTGTGCCACGCGGAGGGAATGCCTAATGAACCGGTTCTGAGCGGATTAAACCAGATTCAACTGGATTAGCGTCGGTTTCGACCGGACCGAGCAAGATGGCCGTCGAATTGTCATTTCTTTAATATGGTTGGACGTGAGTCGGATGAAAATGGGAGTCATAATAATGATTATTTTATCTGCCATATTAAAATTATGCTTTCGGATAATCTGTCTAATTTATGAGGGTAAGATAATTCAAAATGTTATTAAATTTATATTTCATTAATGCCTAATCGGGGCTTTCCCGTATAGCCGCAACAAAACAAATTACAAAGTGTACAGTGAACCGTTTAAGATTTTACGCAAAGTTTAGAGCCTATGGGATTACTTCTGGAGCGGAGACAAGTTTTTAATTAAATCTTATAAATTGTATCCTTTACGCCTATTTTATCCCGGGAGCGAAAACACTTACTAATATTTTAACCAAGGTATATTACAATCCCACCACCAAATTATTCAATTTAAAATTTACGAAAATATTACAAATATTTACACAATTTTACAGAATATGAAATTTAAAACCTACGTTAAAACTAGCCGCAGTAATCAGCGGGCAAACAGAGCAGCCGAACTGTGATCGCGTACAAATTGTATTTTTAATTAATTTCCATTGTTTTCGTTTTCGCGACCGATTGCGTTGTTGCGCGACCGGCTGATGAATTATGTTCCAAATTGAATTATTATATTTACGGATGATGATGTTAAATTTTTAGGAATTACTCTTACAAAAATGTTATTTTAATAGTTGCGCTTGCTTCTTCAACCACGTGATACATGAATATTTTGTGAAATTTTTGACGATTTCTTCTTTAATAATCAGTTTTATTTCAGTCAATTTACACAAAAATCTTATGAATTATTCACCTTCCTCAAAGATAACATCTATTTCTGAAAAGTAGTTTATTTTACTAGTATCACGGTAGTATCACAAGAAACCACCTCTATGGCTTAGTTATAAAGTATAGTCTCCTAGCTAGGCTATGATTCTGCAAGAATTATTAATTTGGAAGGTACAGTGGTCTTATCTGAGGGCGTTTCCGAATGAATGAAACAGATACAGTTTTTCTGAACAGGTTAATAGAGATTCATAAACCAATTATTTTCAAATTTATTTCTGAAATGTCGACTGAAATTTAATTAAATCATAATTAGCTTTTTTCTCTGAAATAAAATAACTTTTAATAGTACATAGATTTTCATTATGTATTCCTTACATTGAAATTAATAAAAACGTGTAAAGGCAGATTCGGTGTGATTCGCTAAAATCGTAAAATTTGCCTTAAGGCCTATACTTACCCGTGTTATTAGATTTACAGCTGGATTTAGGAAAACCCCTGTAATACTTAAGAGAGTTTGTTTTCGGTATTATTAAAATAAAGTGTTAAGGAAAATTTGGGACTAATTCAAAAAGTAAACATTGCTTTTCAAATATTTCTTTACTATTTTTAATCTTTTAAATATATAAAACAAAGTCGTGCTAGTTACACTCAAACTCAAAATACCTTCATTCATGTAGGTAAACAAGTACACTTATGAATTGTCAGAAAGAAGTTAAATTATTTGTAAATTTACATTGACTACCAGTTCGCAAGTCAAGGGCGTAGAGCGGGTAAGACTACTTTTAATTCAACTTGGCTGGACCGATGTTAGTTATTTTTTTGGTGATTTTTTCTTGGGATTTTTTGAAGTAATAAAATATCAGATAAGTTATCGAATAACAATAAATTTATTAATTAATTTTATGAATGCAAACAGCATGTGGTGCCTGATCTGTTGATTTAATAAGTAAGTCAAATATGTCACGAAAGGGAGCGATATGGCGGTTTTGGCATCGAAACCCCTAATACCAACGAAAAACATTCATGTAAAACATTTCTGTATTTGCAAATAAGTTGTATTAATGTTATTAACTTAATGAAATCTTTGATTAAGTTTAGCTAAAGTTAACACGATATTATTAGACTGTAAGGCGGAACGAAGTCCGCCGGGTCAGCTAGTTATAAATAAATAGGAAATCAAACTTACCCTTAGACAGTCTAAGCGGTATTGGCCTAGGGGCCTCAGCGTGCGACTCTCGTCTCTGAAGAGCACAACACACGTTCGTACGTGAAAGAGAACATCGTGAGGCCGGCATGCCGCAGACCAAAAAACCGTGACAGAGTGCGCCGGCACAGAAGCCTGATACTTGCCTATTAGAAAATAAATTATCACGAAACACATACAACTATGTGAGGGCCAGACTAAGGGTTTAGCTCCACTGGTTTTTTACCCTCAGATAAAATTATTTACGACGCAGGCACAGAGACCTAATCTACTATAAACTTAAATAATGAAAAATCAATCAAACAAATTCTTCATGTCATGCCAAAACCCCTAAAGGCGTGATCACCTAAACGAATAAAATACATAATATATTTATTTATTAACACTTCATTCCATACAGAAATATATTACAGTTAACATAATTAAAAGAATAGGAGGGCAACTGGCGGCCTTATCGCTTTCGAGCGATCTCTTCCGGCCTGGAAGTGTTCGATCAATGTGTGAAAAAAAAGCCGAAAAGTTGCAAAAATAATTAATAATAGTTGTTTAGACAAAAATAATGGAACCAAAACATATGAAAACAGTGCACAGAAAAAGATATAAAATAACTATAATAAATGAATTTCTGAAAAGAAAATAAACGCAAGAAGACGGATCGGCGATAATGGGGTGGTTTAATTATGTTATCCCTCATTGTTTTCATAAATCTGTGCGTAAGACAAAGTATAATACAACGTAGAACCGACACCCCATTCGTCTCAGTCCGAGAGCTGCCTTACAGAGATTTATGAGCTACCTGTTCACTTTTATCCTTTTAATACAAAGACTAAGTTAATACAGATGTGACAATGTGGAAAATTTTAAATTGTTTTTTTTATTTGCTTCAACCTTGTGAAATGTTTGTACAATTTAGTTTCAAATCAAAACTTTTTGTGTAAAAATCTACTATCTCTATACATAAATAAAAATTGAATAAAATAACTATTTAAAAGTATAGTATTTCATTGTAATTTAATTGCGCTACGTAGTTGGATATAGATATCACATAATCATTAGAAAATATATCAATAATAGCTGGTTTTAAAAAAAATATTTCTATTGTCGATTCACTCTTACTCATTCGGACTTTCTAAATTCGAAAATTCAGTGTACAGTAGTATGAGAGACCATTTTTTTAAATTTCGAACTATCTCTAGTTACTGTATACGGAAACAAAATCACAGTCAATAATTCTATACTGTATATTGTCTAATCTATGTCGGGTCCCAGGTGCGGTGAATCAGGCCGGTATCGTTTACTTAATAACTTGGTACCGCAGCTTACCAACACCGCACTTTACAACCGCTTTAATGGTCTTACTTACTTCCCTCTAACTTAATAATGCATCTGCGATACTCTGCTTTGACATAGAGTTGACGTCGACAGTCGTATTATTAAGTTCATTCCTTTTTCGAAAATGCTGAGTGCATTTATCGCTTGAGAAGTCTTTATGTAAAAACTATTTATGTAAATTAAATAGAACCTAAGAACAGAGTATTTTCTCCTCATAAGTGGTGTTGGCCACTTTCTTATGTTAAATATCCTTTTTAGTTAATTAGGTTATTTTAAATTCCTTATTAGTATTAAATTACACTAAATCGTAATGTTTAATTGTCTCTTTGTGCAGATGCAATTAAAAAAACAATTTTGGTAGACATAAAAAAAACAAAAATTACAGATAAGTGAAGCAAGTTTACAACTTATTAGAACTGAAATCAAATAATTATTCGTTTATTCGTGTAGATAACTGTCACTTTTCAACGATAATAAACGAAATTGGAATGTTCTAAATTTAAATTGAAAACTCTCCACCACTTTTTACCCTTTACAGTCTGTAACTCTAATATATTATTCTAACTATATATTTCTTGTTATAGGATCTACAATCAGAAATCGAGACTCACCGCGATGTGTACGCATCGCTCACCGGAACCGGAAGACGACTCCTGGGATCCTTATCTTCCCAGGAAGACGCTGTCATGCTGCAGAGAAGGCTGGACGAGATGAACCAGAGATGGCATCACTTAAAAGCGAAGAGTATGGCTATCAGGTAAGCAATTAATGTTTTTTTAGGAGTTAAAGATTAATTTATCAATTAATAATTTCCGGTTGATTTATGAAATATTTGCCAACAAGCTTATTTACGTAAGTATAAGAAAATCTGGACTAGGTATACACTCCTGACATGCAAAATAATTTGCATTCAATATTAAATTAGTGTAATAATAACAATTGTTCTTGCACATGATACATCATTAGAAACTCCAAAGAGTTTGGAGCAAGATGTATCACTCCCAATAATATATAAATATTACAAGCTGATCCGGCAAACGTCGTTTTGCCATGTATATTATTCCTAAGAAACATTTTTTTAGTTCAATAAAAATAACTATGCACGATAATAAAAAATAGAAGTTGATCGTAGAGGCGTGACAAGTAATCGTTACATGTATTGTAAAAAAAAAGTTTTGCCTAAAATTATAAATAAAAATTTTGACCACCCTTAACATTTAGGGGGATGAAAAATAGATGTCCGATTCTCAGACTTACTAAATATGCATAAAAAAATTCATAAGAATCGGTCGAGCCGTTTCGGAGGAGTAGGTATGGGAACGAACATTGTGAAACTAGAATAATTGTATATGTATATTAGAATATTACTCTTTTTACGTTAATACAGGTAAAAATTTATTTTTGTTCACCATATTTGAGGCATTCTTTCGAGAATATTCTGTCCTAAATGCTAAAGTTAAAGCCGGTACTTGGAATTAAATCACCTGTATAGTCGATATCGACTCTAATCCCAGCCTCGTCCGCGCAGTAGCTGTCAATTATACCTAACACGGTTAGTTGTGGAGTACCCTACAGCGCGCTGATTGCATTACATTCATAACGACGCCATCTTTCTATTAATATTCTAACTAGAAAGTGTTTTGTGCCTATTAGTTCTTGTTGGATATGTATTTACTTTAACTCATACTACAGTAGATATGTACTTTCCAAGTATTTTATTATTAAAATGATATTTTTATTTAACTAATAGGTTTAGATTGTGATTGTGTGAGTTACATCTGGAACTATACATTTATTTGTTTTTCTGTATAACGTTTGTTGCTACATAACATTTTTGTTAAATTTAGTTTTAGTATAGTTTTTATATACAGTGACCAGTTAGCCTAGAGACGCGTGATTCTCAGCCCTGAGATCGTGCGTTGGAACCCCAGTCTACCAATGAAATATTCCAAAAGTATAGTAACTGGTCATATGATACGAGAAAGAACGCAACCCCCAAGTCCAATACCTACAACTCGACAGCGTTTTTTAGGCATAGATCTACTAACTTTCCTATAAAATTCCTATTTCCGCTACTGGTCTTATAAAAAAATAAATCAGTGGCGCTACAACCTCTTTAGGTCTGATCAGCCGCCTGTGCCTGACACACGCTGTCGACTTTTTGGGTCTAAGACATGTCGGTTTCCTTACGATGTTTTCCTTCACCGTTCGAGTGAATGATAAATGCGCACATAGAAAGAAAGTCCATTGGTGCATAGCCGGGGATCGAACCTACGACCTCAGGGATGAGAGTCGCACGCTGAAGCCACTAGGCCAGCACCGCTCACCGGTCTTATACATCATGTCCTGTATAAGACCAGTGAACTTATGTAAGTTAAAGTAAATACATATCCAACAAGAACTAATCGTATTATATAACTCGTCAATGTTCTATGCATTGGTGCATAATATTATGATAAATTTGAACAGTAGTGTTATGCAAATGAAGATTGATTGACGGATCTGTTGCAATTCATTAAGATTAGGCAGTGTACACAGTCGGCACATAATAGATTCAATTACTGTCTCACCTTGTCTGTGAGGAGATTTTAGGAATGCTTTCAAGCAATTTAGTACATTTTCTTGTATATAAATGTATCGTTAACTTAATAGTTTCACCCGCTATTATTTCGGTTGTAGCGTGATGTTTAAAGCTTGGAGCATTTAATACAAACATTTTTAAATTGAACTTTTATAAGGTATGGTAATTATAATGGGTGACATGTGGCATGTTTTTTTTAATAACAGGGCAAGCGGTAAGGAGTCTCATCTGATGTTAAGTGATACCGCAGCCCATGGACACTTTCAATGCCAGAGGGCTCGTGAGTGCGTTGCCGGCCTTTTAAGAATTGGTACGCTCTTTTCTTGAAGGACCCTAAGTCAAATCGGTTTGAAAATAGTTCAGTTCAGCGCAAAACTGCATTTAGAAATGCTCGGTAGTGGAACGACGGACGTCGAGGTGATATTTTCGTAATTTCGTATACTGCCTTGACGTCCGATCGTGAAACGCATCTGCTGGTATTAATTCCAACCACTTCTCTGACATCTCATTGATACCAACAAACAATATTTTTGAAGTGAAAACTTCTTTAGCGGCGCTGAGCACTTTTTGTATGGGTAAAAACTTTCAAACTTGCGTCAGGGTCACGTGATGCTGATCGAAAAAGCGTAAGATCGAGGGGAAGGGAGAGGAACTAGTATCTCCCACTCTTTCTACCGTGCCTGAGTGTGCTGCTCTGTTTAGGCGGCACAGGGCGCTTGCGCGAATGACCGTGTGTGTTTATGTACAGCGTCCCACGCGTATCCAAGGATGGTGACAGCTGATTGCTTGACTGTTGTGTAGTAAATACACTGTTGTGTATTCGTAAATGTGAATTGTTTAAATTATGGAAATCGAACAAAGTGAATCTATTAATGAAAAAAGTGATGATGAAGTAGTGAAAGCAAATGAGTAAGTACTTTATAAATTACTAGATGAAAAACTCTTACTTGGCTTTAGCCCGTAACTGCCGTCAAGAAAACCAGCTATAAGCTGAGAACTATAAAACGTAAAAAAACGAATAATAATAATAGTAATAAATATAATTTTAATAATAAGATTAGGTTTCGATCTAGTCTGTATTGACACATAATAGATGTAATATTTGTAATATGTTTATACTTTATAGCATTAACCTACATTTTCATGACACCACAATAAGCATTGTGATTGGACATGGGTAGGGTGATTGAGGGTTGTTTTTGCTATTTGATACAATTTCCTTCCCTCAATCACCCGATTAGAGTCCGCGTCTTAAAACTAATCTTAAATTAATATAAAAGGTGTACAGATAACTAGTTTACCTTTAAATAACGATATAATATTATTAATAACAACATATAAATTGTCATATTTGTGTACGATAGCGCAATAAATAAACATTGTATTCTACCTCATAAATGATAGTACTTTTATACTTATAATTAAACACAACGTTAATATTGAAGTTTTCACTTCTGCCGGCACTCCCGGAGTGCTCCCGTTGTTTTTTTTTACTATTCTTTGGAGTTAGTGCTTTTTACTTTTATTTAAATGATACTTTTCAAATATATGAACTCAATAAGTTATTAGAAATGTGTTTACCACGTGCCTCGTTAGTAGGTAAAGGAACTTAAGCTTTGACAGTATTGTTGCCAAGCACTACTGGTATTCACCAAATCATTTCACCAATATACATCAATACATATAATAATATTTCTGGAAACAAAATAACCACGAAAAGCCACGTAACGTTGTTTCCGTGAAACTGAAAAGGTTATGAAAATGGGCGACCTAGTTGTTTAAGGATACCTTTTGTTCTACACTTCTTACAAAGGCACTTCGCGTTATAAATGTTTAGAATATAGGTTTAATAAGTTTGTCCAATTACTGTCAATCTGTTTGAACTCTAACAGGGATTAATCGTTTTTGCGTAGAAATATTCAATAAGAAAAGTCTAGTGTTCTGTAAACTGACGTTTATCATAGTGATGATGAAGCAATAGTTTAGCGCACCTTCTCTAAGGGACAGCAAAACTAGTGTATATATAATTTTAAGCGGCATAATGTCCCTGTTTTTTAAATGAGTGTTAAATAGTTTTGGAGGCAACCCTATACTGTAACCACTTGGCTGTACATTATACATTTAAAACAATGTTCCTGCAGTCAGGGAACAGTTACAGACCGCTAACCGCAACGGAACGTTACTTAGATTTCTATTAATTAACACTTTTTGCGCACAATTAAATACTACAATAAACTTTAAAAACATGGTGCAACGGGTGGTCTTACCGTTATTAAGCAATCTCTTCAGGCAACCCTAGACAATACGTAATATTCGTGTAATATACGTTTGTATTGCACTCAACTCGTAATTCAAAATTCAAAAGTCATTTATTCATATAGGTAACAAAAGGTACACTTATGAACGTCAAAAAATAAATATATCGACGTAGGAAAGCATATTTGCTGTAAGTAGACAATGCAATTGTTCACCAGAGCCAAAAACTTCATTAATTTCGGAAAAAATTAATAGTGTCGAACCTATCCATGATATTGTTACCATTTTTGAAACATATATTTATTTAACTGCCAGTCACCATTTGCAATGTAAACTTTTTATCCAAAGTTACTATAAGTAGTGTTTGGCTATTACAGCATACAGTTTTTTAAATCACAAACCTTTAAAACGCTGTAACTAAGGAAGAAAAATGTACGGCGGAAATATTATCAATTTACAGGCGGTAAATATGCTGTATGCAGTAAATTTATGTATTTGGGTACTTTCAATTGCAATTCAAGATTAAGATGAGTTTATAATTATGATTAGATCTAGAAATGCAGTGGGTCATTTGGTAATGTAATGTTTGGTTGTAATAACATGTTGTAAATGGTAAAAAAACTAAAACTGTAGGTTCCCTAAGCTTGCTGTAAGTAAACGAATGTAAAAATCACACGCCGCAGAAATGCTGTAAGTAGCGTTAAGTTTTTAAATGGGAAGAAGTAAGTATTTGTAAAGTAAAAAATGCAGATTTTTTTGCTGTAAGTACAAATTGTCTAAAATGACTGATTTGGTCTAATACAGATTTAATCTTACTAAAAAAATATAGTACGGGCGTTTTCAACCGGTTGTAATTTTTTTCATCGTAGAGACACAGGACCCGGGACATTCGATGCGGTTTTTTTCTGATTCTAATGGCA